CTACAGTACAAAATTTGCATTTTCATCAAGGAAATTCATGGAAAGGACACTGACAAGTATATGGGCTTCTGATAACTTGGGAGCTCACACCAATGGACCAGATAAAAACTTCCAGGACTCTTATCAAAAAGCTGATGCATTCATGAGGATTGCTAACCCAACATCATACAGAAAAAAAGCAAATTACATGGAACTGAACTGACAGAGGACTGAAATACGTTTTATGACTTTCTGTTGTTGCTGAAACCTTGCTGACTCTTTTAATATTTTGTTTTCCAGAGTGAAAAAACCTTTTTCTTTTTGAGCTATTTATAGCTATAGCAATTGTGTGACATACACTTTTGTGAGCAAAAATGAAACATTTGTCTTTTTCTCTACCCGATTTCTCAAAAATCTAGAAGCGATTCATGAATATTCTTATTTTCAATGTAGTTCTTTGCATAAGTTCAATAAGAATCTGCTTTCCTGCCAGGCGCAGTGGCTCACGCCTATAATCCCAGAACTTTGGAAGGCCCAGGCGGGCAGATCACAAGGTCAGGGGTTTGAGACCACCCTGGCCAACATGGTGAAACCCTGTCTCTACTAAAATAGAAAAATTAGCTGGGTGTGGTGGCACACGCCTGTAGTCCCAGCTACTCGGGAGGCTGAGGCAGGAGAATCGCTTGAACCCAGGAGGCAGAGGTTGCAGTGAGCCGAGATCGTGCCACTGCACTCCAGCCTGGTGACGGAGCTGGAAAAAAAAAAAAGAAGAGTCTGTTTTCTTTGTAACAGGACACAATAGGAGACCCTTGGTTGTTCTACGCAGACTTTGACTGGAATGACGTGTTTTCAGATATGACCATACTGCTTTGAGGAACTGCGGTTCTCTTTACAGAGCCAATAAAAAGCCCCCTGGAATGATTGGACTGGTGCCCTGTTTACATAGTTCCCTTACAAGGTTCCTGGCCTCGAGGTAAATAAAGAATGTCACTTTCAGCCAGGTGTGATGGCTCACGCCTGCAATCCCAGCACTTTGGGAGGCCGAGGCAGGTGGATCACAGGGTCAGGAGTTCAAGACCATCCTGGCCAACCTGGTGAAATCCCATCTCGACTAAAATACAAATTAGCCAGGCATAGTGGTGAGCGCCTGTAATCCCAGCTACTTGGGAGCCTGAGGCAGCGGAATTGCTTGAACCCAGGAGGTGGAGATTGCAGTGAGCTGAGATCGTAGCATTGCACTCCAGCCTGGTAACAGAGCAAGACTCAAAAAAAAAAAAAAAAAAAGAATGTCACTTTCTGACAGATCCAGGATAGTTTGGGACCTGGAGGAGTGACATTCACCCCCAATTCATAGAGGTATTATAAATACTGTGTGATGGGCAGCCCTTGGCTTGGCCTCCTAGACGTGGGAAGTGTTTGCTTTAGAGACAGGGTCTCACTCTGTCACCCAGGCTGAAGTACAGCCTCAATCTCCAGGGCTCAAGTGATCCTCCCACCTCAGCCTCCTGATAGCTGGGACTACAGGTGTGCACCATTATGCCCAGGTAATTTTTAAATTTTTTATGGAGACAGGGGTCTCACTATATTGTCCAGGTTGGTCTCAAACTCCTGGGATCAATAAATCCTCCTGCCTTGGCCTCCCAAAGTGCTGGGATTACAGCATGAGCCACCACGTCCAGCCCTCAAGTGGCTTTTAAAGGTCTAATCTGATGCTTTTGTAGTTCATAAGCAGGATGATTGGCTCACGTGTAACATACGTTGCCCTCAAACCTTCTGTGACATCAGCACGTTACCTGTGTGACATGGGGAAAAAATAGTCTAATCTGGAATTCCTTATGACAAAGTTCCAGCCAATTTAAAAAGGAGCCTATATGGCCAATCACCAGTTGTACTTCATGCAAATCATCAGGCCAAATGTAGTCATAAAATTTATTTTACAAGTAAATTGGTCTTACCAAGATTTATCTTTGGTAGAAATGGGGAAGTAGACAGAGAGAAATTATGTTTCAGAGAAAAACTACAGCATACCTGTTACTGGATTCTAGCCCTGACCATTGTATTTTTTATTTTCCTACAATTTGGACTAAATCCTAAACAATCTTCTGGCTACGAGTCTCTAAAGAAGAGCCTGTTTGGGTACAGTGGTTCACACCTGTAATCCCAGCACTTTGGGAGGTCCAGGTGAGAGGATCGCTTGGGCTCAGGACTAGGCTGGGCAAGGTGGCAAGACCTAGTTTCTACCAAAAATTTTTAAAAATTAGCCGGTCCTGGTGAACACTTGTATTCCCAGCTACTCGGGAGGCAGAGACAAGAGGATCCCTTGAGCCCAAGAGTTCAAGGCTGTGACGAGTGGGAGTCATGCCTCTGCACTCCAGAGTCGGGGACAGAGCAAGACCCGGTCTCTTCATAAACAAAAAGAAAGAAGAACCTGGATCTTAGTTTCTTCATGTTGTTAGTTGTCTCCCTAATGGAACAGGTTTTTTCATCCTGGCATACAAATTGGTTATAATCCTACGTGTCACTTCTGAGAGAACTAAAATTATGGTGTTTCTAGAAACTAGAGATGATTCAACAGATGACAGCAGCTCTATAAATTAATGACTTCACTGAGGTCTCATGTTTGCCACTCCAATTTAGTGTTTGGGTTTTGTTTTGTTTTATTTTTTGAGATGGAGTTTCAGGTTTCGCCCAGGCTGGAGTACAGTGGCGCGATCTCGGCTCACTACAGCCTCCGCGTCCTGGGTTCAAACGATTCTCCTGCCTCCGCCTCCCGAGTATCTGGGATGACAGGCGCCCGCCACCATGCCCAGCTGATTTCTGCATTTTTAGTAGAGACGGGGTTTCAGCACGTTGGCCAGGCTGGTCTCAGCCTCCTGACCTCGTGACCCGCCCGCCGAGCCTCCCAACGCGCTGGGACGACAGGTGTGAGCCACCGTGCTGAGCCGGTATTTGGTGTTCTAAAAAAAAAAAAAACCCAGGGAAACGTCCCCTCCTTTCCCGACGGACATGGGCCACGACTCTCTGGGAATGAGCCTCCCCAGCAAGAGGGGGCACCGAGACCCCCAGATTCTGACAATCGCCGCGTTCAAGGCCTTAGAGCCACGGCGCGGCAGGCGAGAAAGCAGCATCGTTTATCCGAGCAGCGCGGAGCCCCGGGAAGCCGCGGCCCCGAGGGCCGGCGTGACGCGCCGGGGCCGTGAGAGCCACCGCAGCCCCCCGGCGCCCCGGGCCGCGCGGGAACCGGGCCCGCCTCCGCCCGCGAGCGCCCCCGCCACGCGCGAAGCCCGTGCGCTGCGACCGGCGACGGCGCGAATCCCGGCGCCTCCGCCGGAGCGACCCCCGGCCTGGCCGCGTCCCGAGTTCAGGCTGACGGCTCACACGGGGCTCCCCGGGGCGCGCCCGCCGGGGCCCGCGGCACAGGCCGGCGGGGGCGCCTCAGCGCCCGGCGCCTCCGGAGCGGGGCCCGGAGGGAGGACGCGCCTTCCCGGCCCGCCCGGGCCTCAGTTTCCCCGCCCCGGCTCACTCCCGCCGCGGCCCCCACCTCGGGACGCGCCCCCGGCGCGGCCCCGCTCTGCCCTCGGCGGCCCGGCCGCCCACCTGGCCCGCGCGGCCCGGAGTCGCTCACCTGCGGGGCCGGGGCCGGGGCCGGGGCCGCCCCACACCGTCCACGCCCGGCGCGGAACCCTGGCCCGACCGCAGCGGCCGGCCGGGAGCACTTTCTCCGGCGCACCGAGGCCAACACGCGCCGGGCGGAGAAGCCGGGTGCACCAAGCTCCCGGCGGAAGTCCGGCCGGGGCGGGGCCGAAGGGGTGGAGGGCGTGGCCAGAGGAGAGGGAGCGGGCGTGGCCTCGGCGGGTGGGGGCGTGGCCAGGAGGTCTCGGGCTGGGTGGGGCGGGACCTGAGGGCTGATGGGGGCGTGGCCGCGCCTGGTGGAGGCGTGGTCGGGAGGTCCCGGGGCGGGGGAGTGGCCGTACCGGGAAGGGGCGCGCGCCGGCCGCCAGGGGGCGCCGTGGGGCGGCGGGGTCGCACCCGGCGCGCCGCGCCCGCTCCTCTGCCTGCCGCCTGGACCCGGCCGGGCCTCTCCGCGGGATCCCGGCCCCTCCTCGAGCGCCGCCTTCCGCCGCGGGCGCCGCCATGGCCTCGCTGGGGGACCTGGTGCGCGCGTGGCACCTGGGCGCGCAGGCCGTGGAGCGCGGGGACTGGGCCCGCGCCCTGCGCCTCTTCTCGGGCGTCCCGGCGCCGCCCGCCAGGCTGTGCTTCAACGCGGGCTGCGTGCACCTGCTGGCCGGGGACGCCGAGGCCGCGCTGCGGG